CGCGAGGCGGGCCAGCTTGTTCGCGTGGATTTGCATGACGGGCGGGGATAATCGAAATCTCGCCCGCGGCTCGAGATTCGATTTTAGACAAGCGGCCACGGCGTTAAAGAGGAATCGATCGACGTCTAAGGTGTTTCTGCCGGTACGTTCTACGTACCAGCTCATCCCTCTCTTTTTCTTTTTCTCCTCCAACCACGCGTCTCTGCTTCTTCTCTTTCTCTCACTGCCTCCAAAAAGTTCGTCTTTAATTTCTTTTGCTTTCTTTCACTCGCGCGGACGCACGGTCCTCGCGAACGGCGTTTTGGATTACACCTCGAACAATGAGGTCGTTAGGGGCGAGCGAAGGAGGTAGAAAGTAGAAAGACGCGGCTCGCCACCCTTACCACCTCTCCACCCCCTTCCCCTTCTTTGCTCGCTCTTCTGTCCACTTCTTTTCGGTCTTTCTGTCTTTTTCCTTCGCTATTCTCGCGTAGAATTCGCGATCTTTCTCGCTCGCGCAGCACGATGAACCGGCCAGGATACACAGAGAACGTGCACGTTACGATGGAATTCTATTTGGTCGAGACTTTTTCGTCCTCCCCGCGTCCTGCCCACCACCGGGCCCACCTCATTCACCCGCTTTAATTGCATAATTGCGCCATTGTGCGAGCAAGGTGGGGGCCCCGTGAAAGGCCAGTCCCGTCGACGGGGGCAGCTTTCGAGGTGAGAAAAAATGCCGAGGGGCCCCCTCCACAAAACGACTTCGCCAGGTAGCCAGCCACGGTAAGATTACGATTTTTCGCTCGCGACTCGCCATTGCTCTCTGATCTAATTAATAGAGTTTTAATTAGGCGATTCGAGACACGTTTTCGGGTCGTAAAGCGATATTTTTCTAGTCGGTTTTTGGATAATTGCGAGGTGAAGATTTTGAAAAACGAACCAGACGGAGACGAGTCAACTGGTCACTTGGATTTTCAATCCTTCGACTTTGAAAATCTTTTTATTCGCAAGTATCTTATTTGTTAATAATCGACTCGTTGATTCATGTCTGTTGGAAATATATCGTCTTGAAATTGTGTTCGTCAGCATTTACTTCTGTAGATAATTATACAAGTTTCTGGTTAAAGAATTGATTAACAAGTTAATCGATCAACCGCTGTTTGTAAATTTCTTAGTTTTATAATCCTAGGTGCGTCATGCGAGGAGTTAGAAGTAGTAAGTTGTAGATTTCTCTTTTCTAATTTCATGTTACGTCGTTTAGAAAAATTAATAACCCTAATTAATAACCCTAAAATTTACGAGCAAAATTTCATTTGTATAATTATTAATTTATGTAAGAGAATTTATTAGTAGCAGTATTTTGTAACTTGTAACTTAAAATTTCGAATTTGTAAGATTTCACTAACGATGTTAGATCAATCGTGCAAGAACATTCCGGATATGTGACTAATAGAAACAAAGCAATTTAAGTTTACTATTGAAGTTACTTTCCTTCGATACGACAAATCAATTTATGTATATAGATTAAAGAAAAATAAATTTAATGTTTATTTTAAATGATACGAGGATCTCGAATCTAGAAGGCACTCGTCTAAAATTCCGAAAATCATCAAAATAAAATAATTATATAGAGATGAAAATTCAGTTGGTCTTACTCTCGTAATAAAATAACGCTACTGTGTCATAAAAATTTTAATTACCAAAGTTTACCTTTTCAATGCAATATATTTGAATGTAATTTCGTTTTCAAATAAAATATATAATTGGAAAATTAATGGAAAACAAACATGAAACGCAACTGCGAACGCAAAAACACAGGAAATTTTAAATGAATCGTATCTATAGAAGCAAATGTTGAAATATCAAAAATTAAATTGAAATTAAAATGACATTTGTTTCCTGATATTTTTCTCTTCGTCGCAAGAAAATGCAAGAAAAATCATTACCTTGCATTTGTTAGTCAAGTTTAATAAATTAGCTGCCTGTTTCAGACAATCTAGGTATACTTGTCTCTTCTTTTTCGTATATTAATTGCCTCACCGCAAAAATGGAATCCTTTACTGCTTCTTCATAATTCAAAATAAAAACGAAAGACAATATAGATGCAAATGAAATAGCAGCGCGTTTTATTTAAATGTAACTGACCTCGTTTACCAAAATTTAATTAATTCTACCATCACTCGCGAGAATAACCATTTTCATAATTCATTTTTTCTTTATCAATTGTGTAATTATGTTGTTGGTGCACGCACAGTAATTTATTTCCAACTTGCTACGCTACAAAATTATTATTTTAATTTATTTGCTGATTAAAAATAAATATTTTGCGTAATGAAAATAACGAATTTCCGAATTTCTTGAGTTTCTAGAAAAAATATTTCAAATCATTGTTTCAATAAGAAATGGGAATACTTTGAAATTATTATTCATGAATATATGCATTAATACAATTAACAATTCTTTTTATATCTACCTAACAAAAATACATCACGAATTTTTTACATTTTAATAAAATTTTATAATTGACCGAAATTAAAAAATTTCAAAAATAGATGTATACGATGCTACACATACGATAGACGTATTATCTCTAACTGGCCTAAAGTCGAACACAATTATCACAAAAAATCTTCCCAGCTTCAAATGCAAAGCGAACAAAAACCAATACAAATGACCAGGCGAATTTGTACGTTCGTACAATCGAGAGCGTTTCCCTCGGTCAGCCTTAATTTCCTCGTCGAAATTTCCCATTATTCGTATGCAGCTGCAGCAGGTGATGCGTAGTCCGCGTCCGACAATCATTAATGCCCCGCGCGTATTATTTCATTTAGATCGCATCTCAACGGACAAATTATTGCCACGCACGTGTTTGAAGACTCTCTCGAGCTTCCTCGAGCATCGACGTATCGAGGCTGCCATAACAGGCGTCGCGACCGGAACACAGCTGGCCTCGCGTCTCGAATTTATTTCCCCGGAAACCATCGACTCCTTCGTTTCTCGGTTCGATACCGGCACGACGCCCGCATTCGCTTGATAATTATCGGTTTTCTCAGGGCATCTCAAACGACGTAGTATTTCAGGTATTGCGTGTTTTTGGTTCAACATGATTGTATCGCTAGGCTCTAGTATGGTTACGATATACAGTAACGTTGAAAAGATTGGAAATTTTTATTGGATAAGAATGGAACTTGAAGTGTGTGTGAGTAGTATATCACTCTGGCAGTTTAAAATAATTGAATGTTCTTTTTCTTTCTTTTTTTTTTTAATTTTCTTGTAATGCCAAGTTTTACAGTGTTAATGAGATTTCAAATGCTTCGTGCACGTACGGTATTATAAGGTGCACACGATACGAACGATAGTCATCAATGAACATAAGGTCTTCACTTTATGAATCAGATATTGAAACGTGTTTTCATGTATGTGGTTTTCTTGAAAGACGTAATTTCCAAATTTGAGCGTTCAGCAAATGGCGGTCAAAATCTCGTGTATCTCGAAAAATAATACATTTATAATGTAAGGACTTTATGTATAAACATGATGACTTTTTTCAGCATAATGCACGAAAAGTACTTGATACGTTCATAAATAATTTCA